CTCTGTGAGCTGCTCACATTGCACTGCAAAAAAATCATTTTCTTACCAAGTATTTCTGCCTTGTTTTCCTAAATGACTTAAGACATTAAATCTTGTTTTTTTTTTTGTCACAAAAACATCAAAATTAAGTATGTGTATGGTACAATTTTTTTTTTTCAATCTGACAGTGGGTCAGGAAAATCATCTTAATTCAAAAGAAAAACAATATTATTTTATGACCCCACTGGCAAATATATATATATATATATGTATATATATATATTTTTTTTTGTACATAAATGTGCTTATTTTTGAAAAAAATTTCAGAAAACAAGACTTAATATCTTAAGTTATTTTGCTTTTCTAGTAAATGTATCTTGATTTAAGAACTGTACTGAGAACAAGACAAAAAAAGAAAGTATTTTTTTGCTATGTGAGTGTAATGTGATTAATGTTCCACTGGAATCAAATATTGTAAAATAAATAAATAAAACAAACAAACAAAAATAATAAAATACAAAAGTAAATGATAAAAAATAAGGTACAATTGTAAAAAAACAAAACAAAAAAAAACACTGAATATAAACTGCTGTTGTCAGTAAAATAAATAAATAAGCTAACTAAATAAAACACTGAGTTAACCAGCAGCGTGTCAGCAAACGAAACCTCAAACACAAACAGGTTTGGTGTGACGTCTTGAATCATTAAAACAGGTTAAGGTGGTGATTTAGCACAGAAAACGTCTTCCTCAGAGAGAGAGTGATAGAGACAGCGACACGCGTCTGTGTGTGTGTGTGTGTGTGTCTCACCTGAAGGGAAGCGCTCCAGCACGGGCAGATTGTCCACCTGTAGCGTGGCGTTCCCGCCGCTCCGTGTGAATCTGACCACATGATACTTCCCGTCGCTGACCATCACGCCGCTCTCCTCGATGACGATGTCGTCCGTCCCCACGTTAAAGATCACGCCGACCCTCCCGCGCTCCTGACACACACACAGAGAGAGAGAGAGAGAGAGACAAACTCACTCAGACAGTCTGATCTCATAACAGACCTTCAGCACCATTCTCCTCCAAACCCATCCCGACATTCTGCTGCCTCTCTAATTCACACACATATCAAAGCTGTCCCGTTCATGTGCTCAGATCATTCTTTGTGAAAGTAATTTTAGGTAATAATAAAATAAAGATAAAATAAAAGACTAAACTAAAATAAAAAAAATCTCAAATAACAGAGCAATACTGACACGTACATATGATAAAAATAGTAAGAAATAAATTAAGATAAAAAAATAAAATAAAATATAAAAATAAAAATACACAAAACAATTAAAATAAAAATATTCCTCAGCTTAGTCTACAGACCAATACTGAGTTATAAAACAATAAAAAATAAGTAAAATAAAGATCAAATAAAATGCTAAATAAATAATATTAATATAAAATTAAATAATTTAAAATATATATTCTTGTATTGCTGAGAGACTGTAAGTGCATCACCGTAAATGCGTCTTTCATTTTTTTACAAAATGAAATGAAAGTCAAAGCTCAATAAAATAATGCTCAAAACTCATAAAATAATAATACAAACTAAGATAAAATAAGATAAAAGAAAAATAAATAATACAATTAAAAAAAAAAGACAAAACACACACATGCACAAAAGATAAAATAAACTAAAAATCATTATTCGTGGTTGATTTGTGGTCCTGGACTCCTGACAGACCGCGAGTGCATCACTGTAAATGTGCATCAGTTTTCACACAATGAAACGCTGCATCATCTGGATCCTCACACCGAGATGGATGTTCATATAAAGAAGTGTTTACTCTCACCGAGAGTCTGACGGGGCTCTGAACTTCCCATAAATAATGCAAATGCTGGAGGAGCTGCTGCTGAAACAACCGAGACGAGCCATCAGTGTCCTGGAAGAGAATCCATTCAGAGTGTGGAAAACACTGGAGAACAGGTTCATACAGGTATATCTGGATCATATACTTGTGGTGTCATCACTAACACAAACGCATCTCACAGAGAACAGTGATGAAGCTCATTTCTTTATGTGACGAACATGTGAATTGATGCGCAGCAAACACAGCGGCAGCTGAATATATCTGTGTGAGGAATGGACGTTCATGAACGCGCTCCAAACATCATGTCCTGATGAGCGTCTCTGTGCTGCTTTCCTTCATACCAATACAACAGATCCGTACAGCAAGGATGGAAATGAAAGCGCGTCAGACACAGAGCTGATTTCACTGGACGCGTCTGGATAGAAGTGATGATTACAAACATCTGACAATCCAACAGAACAGAACACACATCTAAGTCAATGTTATCACATACAGTGAGTGCATCTGGTCTGGCAGAACTGCTTCTTCCTGATTATTTCTGTCTGACGCTATGAGGAAAATAAACTTTATTCAGAGGGAAACAAGCCCTTGATACCTTATGTAATAGTGAAATATCTATATATCCACATAATAATAATAATAATATTTATTTACTTGTTTATTTATGTATCTGCTATAATATTCAAATGCATACGATATTAAGGCCTGTTTTCAAATGACTTTTATCTTAATATAAGTGTATATTTAAAGAAAAAAACATGCCAATCCAACAAATCAGAATACTACTGTATATTCAAGACTCATTCTCTGAAAATGAGCCATAATATTTTATAAAATAATAACATAAATACACAATTAACTGTAGATGATATAATTCAATATTATATAAATCATATTTACACACACACACACACACACACACACACACACACACACACACACACACACACACACAACCACACAAAA